TGTTTAATAGCAGTATGAGGGGCTATAGTAAGGGTGGTGACTTTGCCTTAGTTTGGCTTTGTTTGGCTTTGCCATCTCATCAAATGAGTCTAGTCTTGAGTTAGTCAACATGATGACTTAATGAGATGAATGGAGTCTGGTGTGCTATTGCTTGGTTGGAAAGAAAACCTGCAGCCACATGGCCCTTTCTGGAACCAGTTTGACACCCCTGGTTTACGTGAACCAATGCTCAAAGACAGGTATAGCAGAATCATTACTCTACACCTGCCTGAGTCTGCAGCCATCATGATTTCGCTAGACCGTTTGAGTAGTGTTGTTTCTATAGTATGGTGTTTGCGGTATCCCGACTGCAACTTTTCACACCTATAGTGTGACTCTAGGTATGATGTAAGTTGTAGATACATGTAGACCACCTTTTCCAAAAGTTTGGCCCGTATGGAAAGATTCGATATTGGCCTGAAGCTATAAAAACTTTACCTTTAATAGCTATAAAAATATCTATGGAAACCATAGATAGTGGTTCCATAGATAGTGCATTTTATTTGGGGACCAGAGAAGAGGGTGCTTCTGAATTCTAGTGCAGCCCAAAGACTTTGTTCGATCTAAAAATTGGGATTCTGATGCAGTTTACCAACATGGGGGAACTTTAAAAATATTAGACAAATACTTTTCTGCAAACTTCAATGACCTAAAGCAATTTTGTATAATAGAATGCAGAAAATACAGGAAAAGGCAACTCCAAAACTTTCCTTAGAATGGAGCTTCTAAATGCTATTTAATTAATGAGCATACTTAGTTTTTTTTTAGCATGGCTGTAATAACATTTAGTGAAACTTATATTTGTCCTATCACTGTTGTTCAACAATGATACACTTTAGTGTATGTTGTTAAGTTATCTAAACAAAAATGAAATATTTACAGATGGAAAATATTTAAAATATAAAATTATCTAACTAGAAGTTATAAAATTCAGGTTATCTAGTCTTGGCTGAATTGCATGCACAAAGTAAAGAGACATTTCATAGTTCATGACTTTGGAAACTGAATAGAATATGTAACATCACCTTGTATTTGTGAGAATGAACCTTCCTGAATGTATTTATTTGAAGAAGCGGATTAGCAAACTCTTTGTGCAAACTTTGTGTCAGCTGCTGAGCATGATAAACCGGGCATCTATCCACTGGCACCATTTCCAGACTCATAATAATTCTGTTTAGACAATGAGGCATTCACAGTGGGTAAATTACATCCTTGTTTACTAAATTTACAAACTGCAGTGACCCACAATAAATCAAGTACTTCTTACCAGCTCCATTCAAGACAGTAACATATTCTACCAGAATTCACATGATTACCTTTTCCCCCATTAGGTCAATACTGGTGCTACTCAAGTTTTTGATTGCTCTCCATTTACCACAGAATGTTGAATGCAGAAACTCATTGTTCCAGAGTTCAGTGACTTTGACATGGCTGAGGAAACTAAAAGCCTGTAATTATAGCTGAATAGTGAGTTAACTATCTCAGGCTGAGTTTGATACTGTCACTCAGAGCTTCAGCTTCACGGTTAAGTAGAAGGAGTTCCTACAGGGTGATGGAGCATTGAATGTGAATGCAAATCACAGATGACTTTGCCTGAGATTAAATCATTTGCATGGGTTTGTTGGATTAAGCAAAGATGCAATCAGTGTGTGATGTTTGAAGAGACAAGGCGAGAATCTACTGAACTTGCACAGCAATTATCAGAGAAGATGATAGAAGTCAGCCCTGATGCAAACTGATACACATTCTGATGAGTAATCATTCTAATTAAAATAAATCCAGGATTCTTTAGAATGATGTGTTATGAGCAAAACAAAACATAAAAAAGACTATAATCAAATGTCTCCTCAGCAGTTTGGCAGAAGATACAGAAAAACGAGTTGCAAACATCCTTTCAGTTATGATAAGTTCAACCAACCTGTTTACAATCAGCTTGGGTAGAAACATAATTTTTTTTTCTAATTCATTAGTTTCTGTTTTTCTTTTTCATTCAATCCACTAAAATTGCATTTCTTTAGAAATCAAGATCTTGACCCATCATAGTATTGAAAAGGCTTTAGTGTTGCTAGTAAATTTTAGTAATTATATGTTCAATAGAAACCTGCTTCATATTAGTGATAGAATTATTTAAATATGCTGATGAAGGTTCTCAGTCATCCAGGTCATAGTCATTCCGTAAAATTTTTTATGGAATTATTTAAATGTCTGGAATTTTCCTTTTGCATCAGTTTCTTGATAATATAAATATTCCTCCATATTTTGGTTTCATCCTTTTGATTTGTAATAAAAACGAATTATATGCTTGGTAGCAAACTCAAATTATTTAAATTGTAATAACGGTATTTAAAAAGTAGATGTACATAATTAGTTTACAATGCTAACTTAGGTCTTAAGAAATACGTGTTAACAGCTGTTGTTTCATTACAACTTAAGCTTTTATCACATCTAGTTTTCACTGATAATCCTTGGGAGTCTTCTTCAAATTAATTATAGTATAACTGCACTGAATGGAGTTGACTAAACATGATTTGAAACAGAATATATTTGTCTTAGAGATGACCGTTCATATCAGAGTAGAAACCAAGACATGAAGTCAGATGAGAGTTCTGAGAAGGGATTGTCTCAAGGCAAAAAAGCTGCAGGTGGATATAAAAAATACCCACAGCATTGAACTTCCTGGAAGTACTGGAATCTCAGTTATTCAGAACTGGAGAAAATTTGACCCTCACCTGATTAAACAGATCAAACTGAGATAGAGAGCCTAAACCCAATGAGACTTAGGTCCATATTTCTCATTTGGAGATAGAAGAACCACCCAAAAACTTATAATAATTGGTATAATTGCTTATGCACCCCACTTGGGCCTTAATAATGCTGGAAAGATAGCCACCCTTCCGTGAGACGCATACTGAAACCCACTTAACGTAATGGTTTTCCCCTTTTGAACTTTGAGTTTTCAGTTATCTAAGTAATTCTGATTAGTTGGTCTTTGGTTTACTTTCCATTTTGTGCTATATATAAGCAGGCTTAGTTACTCACTCTTCCCCCCTTGTGCCTGTTTCCTTTCCCCTAGCTCCCTTCTAGTCACTTCCATCCACATCTGCTCCATATCAGCTGATTACCCCAGGCTTTGTTCTTTCCATATGTACTCTCCCTGTGCAGTTCATCAGTGTTGTTCCTCTGCTCCCATGTGTTTTTTCCATGACGTCTGCTGGATTTTTGGTTTTCAGTATTTTGTTTTTTGGACTTAGCCTATGTTGCCTTTGGGATTTTGATTAAACCTACAGGAACTAATCTCTGCATTTGGGTCCTTAACCAACCTCCACACTTATGTGCACACCTAAATTTTCCCAAAAAAGCTAAAAAAAAATAAAAAATAAGGAAAAAAACTTTAAACAAATAAATTAACATGCAAACTAATTGACTTTTAAAAACCCAACTAAGAAGCATGGTGGTGGCAGCATCATGATGTGGAGATTTTGTTTTTCCCTTAAGCTGTGTTCAAGATCAAAGTATAAATAGTAAATAGAAAGTATAAATAATTTAGTTAAAAAAAAAACATTCCTGTTTAAAATAACTCACATGATACAAGACAAATAAAAGGGATGATCTTAGTTTTTAGTGGAATTTAGCTGAAAGAAAAAACTCTTCCCTTCCCAAACTTGATGCTGTGCACCAACTGTCAACAGGCTTAAAGAAGGCTGTTAAATTTTTGCCTTGCTAACAGAACAGACATGTTTACAAGTTTAGGTTTGTAGAAATATTCCATTTAATTGAAATATAAGAAGATTAGAAACATATAATTAACAATTTCATCCACAGACTCTAATTAGCCCAAAAACACTTATATCAATGGAAGCTGATAAAATCATATATTTACCAGTAACCCAAAATGTTATAATTTTAGAGCTTCATTCACCTCTAGTCTCATCTATTCCTATCTGAAGTGTTGCTTGAAGTAGAGTGATGAAATACTTTGGTAAACATGCAACAGCCTCATATTTTTTAATGTGTTGTTCTCATAAATATAGGGAAGGAAAAATATTTTTGCAAGAAAAACAACAGTAGTTAGTTTTAACATCAAATGTCTTATCTGCAGTTTTTTAAAAGATGTATATATAATATATATAGATAGTATATATAGAAACTGCTTACAGTTTTAGATTTTTTTTAATTGAATGGATCAATTTAATGAAATGTGTAATGTTAAGAATACATATATGTAGTCTTTTCTCTGGCAAAGTTTTCTATGCGGTCCTTTGTAACATGAAAACGCATGCAATCAACAAATCTCTTTTTTGGTCAATTTGAAAAATTAACATAGTTAACATTCATTGTAGCGGTAACATAAAACTTCAATAGTTTAATATACTTTCCTAACTGTGTGGGGTCCCTGTAACTCATACATTTGTATCATGGCCAAGAGCTGATACATTGCAAATGAAATGCAGAAAAGGTTCATCTTATACAGTTTGATTCATTGCTTTGCTTAGTCAACTTGCTACAAATGCTACTTCAGTATTACATTAATTTAGAATCCATCCAAGCCTTGTTTTGTTTTTTGAAGCTCAGCAGAAAACTAATTTTCTTTTCTGCCAGAGACAAACATTTTTTTCCAACATGATTCCCATGAATCCTCATAGTTTCTGACGGCTGCGACGTGTCCAGCGATGACTCGTTTTTTTAATCAAGAAAAGATTTAGCTTTTTTAGCTTACCTTGCAGCTTGGTCTTGGGAAGTTTCCCACATGGCTTGGTAGCTGTGACAGTAGCAGCGCAGGTCGCATCCATGAGCGCTCTCTTCAGGACCCCAGTCCTGTTCTTCTTCCCTGTAGTCAGGTCACACTCCCCCCAATCCTGGAACTCATACTTGCATTCCCCTGCAAAAAAAAAGTGAACCAAAAATGAAAATCAGGGAGAAATTGCTGGTAAAAATGTTCTATGTATGACTGAAAAAAGCTGAGTTGTGGAACAGCTGCTTAATCAGTTGTTGGTTGTTACAATTTCCTGTCCAATACAAACATAATTAACATGGAGAGCTTTAATTAACAGCAAAAGATGGATTCCAATGCAGAAGCAGAAAAAACCTCAATGTTTGGATCTTAATTTTACTACATGGTGAAACCTACCAACACATAAATGCATCAAAAACAACCTGGAAACAACAAATAGAAAAACTGTCAAACAGATGAGGACTGCCTCCAAAAAATGCCATTAGCTGCTAGCGTATATTACAGAAGTGAGTTTTCAAGGTGTGTTTGTTTAGTGTGCACATAAGTGTTTGTGTACTCTCCTCATCTCTCTTCCTGCATTATTTTTCTTCCAGGCCGGCCAGTCTCTATCGAGGCTGTGACACTCATTCGTCTGCTTCCTCTCACATGAAAGACTGTGTCAATGCAGCCAAGATCCCAGAGTACTCATCAGAGCAGGGGAGAGGTGAGGTAAAGGGAGGAAAGAGAGCAGAGTGAGGGAGTGACAGGGCTATTGTTGCAGGAATCCTACAGGGACTCTCTGAGCAACCAAGTTTGAAAGCCCTGTTCCCTTCAAAACCATAATTTATGTCAAAGAGACGGAGAGAGATATCCCACTTGTTGGCAATTTATCAGGAGCCTGTGCTACATTTTGAAGTGTCACATGCTGTGTTGCAAAGGTATTCCAACACCTTGAACCGTTTCACAAGTTTGTTTTACAGGACTTTCATATAATGAAGCCAAAAAAGTTAGTTGAACTAGAAGGAAACGGTTTTTAGAAGACTCATTTTTCTGCAAGCATAGCTGCAAATTGTTCAAGGGTATGTCTCTATCAGCTTTCCACAACTTGACACGGTTTTCTTTTCCTTTTTTTCCCCCCGACTTTCTTTGCATAATAGTTCCAGCTCAGTCGAATTGAATGACAAGAATCTGTGAAAAGCAGTTTTCTGTGTCCTGCCTCAGATTCTGAATTCCATTAATGTTGGACAAGATATTGCTTATCAAACAAAAATACAGAGGTATTACTGTGCCGAATCTTTATAACCATAGCTGCTCTCTCATTTTTGAGAATCAAAGGTTAACAATATTTTTAATTAGTCATTTTGCTTCTCCTACTACTTTTGTACAGCTTGCAGCATATTTCGTCCTTCTGTTATACTTTCCAGGCCCTTGTATCTTTCTTTTCAATTAACCCTATATTTCCAACTTTTTTTCTACATCTTTTTGGTGGGTATTTTAGGATTTTTATTGTTGTCCCTTGCAGGTTCTTTTTGTTGTTCAGCAGTTCTCCCTCTGGATTGTGCCAATTTACTTTTTAATCCCAACTTGGATCTGAATGGACTGTCAGTTCAATGCAGAGCCTATTTCTCAAACCAAACTGTGGTTCACCAAGGTCATCTCTTTGTTTTTGAGTCTACTAAAAAATCTACGTAATTCAATTGAGGAGACAATCTATAGTAACATAGCATCTAAATCAGTGTGGTGGAGACGCATCTTACATGGTTTCTGCTTCAAATCATTTCAGCTTTGCTTATCTCATAACACCTGACCTATGTGTTCAGTAAACAAAGAATCCTAGTCTTTTTGTTCATTATGTAATAAATTATTCAACTTTAGTTCGATTAGTACATTATTAGCAATAAATTGTAAACTTAATCACACAGAGACCTCTGTAAATGTTTGCATTAGAAAGTTTGACATCCTTAATCTTTAAAGTAGGTATTACAACAGTTAAAAACCTTAAAGAACACAAACCTCTTACAAACAAAATGTTAGGAATCCTGTTTGTGTGGGTTGTTTTTGTGTTTTTCTCTCTCCACCACCAGGTGGTGCCCTGCTCCTCGTTGGGCCTCCCTGCACACCTATGGCTCGTTGGATCACTACCGGAGGAGTATTTGAGCAGCGGGCTGTCACTACCTCGACGTGAGCGTGTTTGCCACGTTTGGGTACTCTAGCCAAGCTGAGATTAGCAGAGTCTAAACGAAGCTTTGTTTCTCTGAGTTTAATCTTGTTTTTGTCTTTGCTCTTCGGCAGGAAGCCTTTCCTGTGTAACTGGATAACCTGGACCTTCCCCCCCTGGAAGGATTACTGAGTACACACTGAGCAGGGCTAAACCTCCATAGGATCCGTTCAAGTTCTCATCGGAAAACCAAGTGACAGTCCGCTCCTTTACTCCTCTGGGTCCAACGTATGTCTACCTGTCCGCTCTCCAACGAGTTCCCTCTCCTCTAGATTATTTCCCCACAAACTGGATTCAAGGATTAACAAGAGCCCCCTCAAACGTGAGTTTCTCTCCAGCTACATTCAATCCTCAGTCAATTTTCCTACGGTCCCTGAACTGATCACTATGATCTCTCCTTCAGACTCTCCGGTTCCGGTTCACCAGTTCTCGGAGTTCCAGCTCCTACTTCTGTGTTTCATCAACATTCA